CTTTTTTTTTTTAATTATCTTGCTGAAATGACTATGTTGTAGATAATTAAAATCTGATCTTTCAGTGTATAATGATGTACAGCGCTGAAGCAAAGCACTTGCTACTTGTAGTTAGAATGGGCTGATCCATCACTGAAAGTATCTGCCTGGGAAGAGAAGACTGGAAGGGCTTTTCTGGCTCATGAAGACTGGAAGGGCTTTTCTGGCTCATGGAGTTCAAGCATGGTTTCTGCAGAGCCTTTCATATAGTACCTTTAGTGTTGTGTGTTATCACATAGTCCCATTAAGTAGTTGAGTTTCTTTCTCCACCTCTGCCTTTTGAATGGTTGTACTGTGTGGAATTTCAGATGGGGATTAACTTCTTACTGCCTTTATCATTACCATAATAAATTAGTATGGTCTGTTCATGTTCTACTAACAGTGTGTGAGTTTGATAAAATTTGAATTTATTTACCTTTTTACAGTAATTTTTTTCCTATAGTAGGAAAATATGCTTACAGGTATGTTTCAGTGACTAAGTAAAATGCCATCAAAACTAGTAGGAAGAATAAATAAATTTGAAGTCTAGGTCTTCTGGCTTTTGCAGATTTTGTTACTATTTATGTCCTTGAGAACCTTTATATGCCATCTATAGTTCAACTGATCTGCAGCAACAGGGTCTCACATGAGTATTAATTTGCAAAGCTTACTGGGAGAAGAAGCTACTCTGAAGTTGTAAAACCTTATTTGACTTTGTTAACTTTGATTTTTAATTTGTGCCTTTCGGTTTTCATGTTGGGTCAAGGAATAGAAGAAAATTAGTGTTTAGGGAGGGAATGGCATCTGCACAGGAAAAATATGTATGTTCATTTAAGACTTCTAGACACCCTTCTCATCTGTTCCTTCCCTCCCTTCTTCCCAGAAATGCTTCTCAGAGAACTGTATTTAAATATATTTACCTGTTTCTGAGGTTGTTTCTGTGTTGAGATGTGCCTTCTTAGTTGGGAGTTCAAGAGTGAGAAGTTAAAAAGGACTAATATTTTACACAACTTTAAAGTTTCAGTAATCTAGTTTACATTAGCAGCTGGTGATATAAACGGAGTAAAAATTTCTGGAATTTTTCACTTTTCTAGTAATCTGTTTTTCATTGCGGTTCTCAAGCTCTAAGGTCAATGCTTATGCTGTCCTAGCTTTAATGGCACACTGAGGAGAAATAAATTGCAGATTATGGCTGATGCCATTAGTAAATGAGATTTCATGAGCTTTGCTGTGGCTTCTTTTCACCACCTCTACAGCTGCCTGCTCTGCCTCTGCCAGGTGTTTCTGCCCACGCAGCACAGTTGGCAGAGCAGATGAGTTCCTGTGCCTCACTTCACAGAATGCAGTCTGACATGTTAGCTTACATTGCAGATGAGCAGGGCTTCTAAGTTGTAGATTAAATCACAGTTTGCAGTAAAGCAGCTTCTGAAGCTGTTGTTAGAATGCTCCCTCTTGGGAGAGGGGCAGAGTAGACAGCTTTAGGCATGAACACTTTAAACATTGCAGTAAGAGGCAGAGGTTTGGCAAAATGCTGCAGTTTGGGGTTTTTTTTGCATTTATAGCTGATAGTGATGGAGGGTGTGTGGGAACTCTGCAGATGGCCTGTGTAAGTTTGCTACCCTGGATAGCTTCCAAATGGACACCTTGAAATGCTTGCACTTGCAACTACTGTAAAAATCAGCCAAAGTCATTCTTTCAGATCTGCCTTTCCTGACCTTGAGCTTCAGTTTGTGGGACCTTGAGAAAAAAATACAGCCAAAGACTCTAATAGCTTCTTGTTATTGTTAGGCTACATTTGCATTTATATGTAGACTACTTAAAACGAGGCTTTTTCATTTTCCTTCTTTGTGGCAAAGAAATCCCAGAGTCTGGGTTGTATGTGTCTCATAGCTTCTTTCAGATCAGGAAATGTTTTTGTTGCTTTGAATTTTGAAATTTTGTTAGCACAGAAATTTCATTATATCTGAGGATAAATTACATTGCAGCTACTTCTCAGCATGGGATCATTCAATTAATGCTCTGAATTCAGACAACTAAAATTTGGAAGTAAGTCAGCTTTGCAGTTCAGACCAAGCTAATTTCATTGTTTTATTTGTACTAGATTGATGCACATTTCTAAGGTTGAAGCAGTTTTTAGATTCACCTTCACTTGGGGTGTGCAGAAAGTTATTTGTATGTGTGAAATGTGCTCGGCATATGGTCTGCAGCTGACAGTACCTGTAACCAACCAATATGTTCCCATATCGTCCTGATTTGAATGGTGCTTAATTTCCATGTCCCGTTCATAAACTCCCCCTGCAGCTGGGTAATCTGACCGTGGTGAGTTGACCTTTGGCAGAGAACTTAAATATACAGGAGAAAGTTTTTGTCCAAGAGCATTGCAAGAGATGTGACAAAAGTTTTGTTTATCTGAATATAAGAAATGAAATTAATTGGGTAAAAGAGAAGTTATGCTGGAAACCTTCTGGAGGTAAATTATTCTGTTAGTTTGTCTGTGACCACTAAAAACCCCCAAAAAACAACAAACTCAAAAACCAAACCACCCAAAATCCCTAGGAAAAATACTTTTTGAGATAGGAAAAGACAGTGGTCCAGGACTGTGATATGTTGGAGTTTGGGAGTGGTTTAGTTTTGAGTGGAATTGCACTGCCTATGTTTTGAGTAAATCAGGTCGTCTTTCTCTTTTGCAGTACAGAGTGCCAAATGTCACTTATACCAGTATTTGAAGAATGTACTGTTCACTTGCATTGAAAAATGTCATGCTTGTAAGTCTGCTTGAAGTAATTCAATATAAATGTAGCAATATGTAATTTTGAGACTAATTTTGAGATGTGCTGATGTTTTGAAGCCTTTTTTTTCTCTGTAGAATTCAAAGTGGATTTAAAATTTGCAACACCTTCATTATTTCATCAAGTGGAAGAAGGTAGTCAAGGGTATCATTCCTTTTCTACTTTGAATTTTTATGAATTTGAATATGTTTTGAGTTGAGAGCTTCACAAAACGTAGTGTTGGTCAGTTTATAGAGCAGCAGTTTGAAATGCAGAGTATTTCTAGACAGCCTGAGTCAGTGCTTATGTATGTAATACTTGCAAATGAACAGGAGCTGGTGATTTTAGTTGTGTACAGGCTGTATTTAAAATTGTTGTATATTTTTACACTGCAGTTTCATAGGCTCCTGCTTACTACTGCAGGAGTGTTTTTCAACACTTTGTGTAGTTCGTGCAGTTGAAGTCTGCTAATATTAGAGGAATAATCTGAGATGTGCCTGAGCAGGCTATTTTTGCATGCCTTACATGAATAGTGAGGCGTGAGGCCAGTCATCATCTGTTTTCAGCCAGGAGTGCATTGTTAAGATATCAGCTTGTATTAATGACTGATACTATCAATCTTAAAAAGTAGTATCTTACTATGAAAATATTATGTATTTTTGAACTAGGAAAAATAATTTTCTAGCAAAATAGTGCACATATTGCTTTCACTTTAAATATACAGAAATTCTGCTCTAGCTAATGTCCAGTCTTAGACACACAGCTGCTGGGACCATGAGCTGCTCATTGTGGCAAAGACTGGGCTTTATTGTTTTGGTTTTCATTTTGAAGCAACTTGGGAGATCTTTCTTGGAAAGGACTAGAACCCCAGTAATAACCAGTATAAATGTTACATACTTTCTTCTTTCAATAGACAGTCTTTTTGGAAGAATCTGTGTAGGGTTGTATGCTCATTTGCAATTTTCTTAAATGGTTTCTAGCATAATAAAGTTTCAATGTGGTTTTGAAATAGCTGTTCAAATACCTCCTGGGTTATTTTGTTTCCCCTGCTGTTATTGTTCCATTTATAGTGTGCAATAATAATCAAAATATGGAGAGGTATTTTATAGTTTTTATTCTCGTTTACTGGGGATGGGAACCTGCCTCTCTTCCATGCAGATATTTGTATATTTCCTTAATGTGCTCAGTCATACATATAAAGAAAGGTATCATGGAAAATGCTTTTGAAAGATAAGGTCTTGGTTTTTTACACTGACTGGTGTTTTTTGCAGGCTAGACGATGTATTATGAAGGCAACGATACATAGTTTGTTGATCAGCTTTTGTTTTTTTCTGGAGCTAGTCATAATGCTGAAATGTATGTTTGTCTTGAACTAAGTAGAGAAAATGGAGGGTGATGGTAAAGCACTCAGTGTCATTTATGCTGTTAAACCTGTACTGCAGAATATGGATTTGTTAGTCCCTGATAGTTACAGTGCCATTAGTATTTTAGCCCTAAATAACAAATGTTGCATCTCATAGTGCTGTGAGGGCTGTCTGGTTAATGTGGTCCTTGCTTTGGCTCAGGCTCACATTGAAGTGATGTTTCTTTGTAGTTGTTCCTATGTCACTGACTTTTCATTTTGTTATTGAAAGTAATTTCTAAAAAAGGTATGCATGGCCTTCTTAAAAAAAAAATTTTTTCTTGCCACTTGAGCATTTGTATGAAGGATGAGGTGTTGGGCCAACTAGTTACTTTACCTTTTGATCTTAAGCACTTTTTATTATGATGGAGATTTGATGGAGATACCTGGGAATGCCATATTTTTTCAGGGATATAATGGAGGGTAGAGCATTTTTTGGCAAGCTAAGCAAAAGATTTAGGGTACATCTTGCCTTGTGTGTAGGTCCCTTGGTCTCCTTGCTCAGTTCACTTGGTGCAATATATTTCAATATAAGTAAATCAAAGCTGACATTATAAGTCTTTTTTTTGATAGCAGTTTCTTGGAACATGTTTGTCTTTTAGTTTGACATATACTTCTGTATTTCTCTTTAAGAAGTTGACTTAAACTGTATAATTTCATATTCCTGGAAATAATTGAAGCTTTTTCCTTGAAAGTGTGTTGCCTGATTTAGCTAAATTGCAAGCAATGAAAATGCTGTAATGAAAAAAAAGCAGATAATGTTAATCTGTGTGTATTAACATGATTGTCCTTTTTGTTTTTGTTTTTTTCAGGAGAGAAATAGAAACAAACAATAACTATATGGAGATGTCCTGCTAGAATACAACACTAATGATGTAGACTCTGGAAATGCCTAATATGTCTAAGAAGACGTTATTAAAGCTTTTTTCTGCTTAAGGTGACATCTTTGAACACTTTAACACGAAATTGACTCTTCTTGTAATGGTTCTCATCAGTGCATCTGCCCTTATACTCTCTCACCAAACACACTTGAGAACTGTACCTTCGTCAAGCACTTTCTGTCCTGAAGCTTTTACCAGTATCTGCTGTCTTTTGTATTTATGCATCCTAGCTAAGGCACAGGAGACCGAACGAATGCAAGGATTCATTAACTCTTTGAATTTGTTAAATACTAACATTTAACCATTAGAAGTGGTTCAATGATGTGAGATTCACATTGCTTCAACTTAATTTTTTCTTTGTTGTAGTTTTTTTAATTGTCAGTTTTTAGCTATTCAACAGATTAAAAGCAAATCATGCCATATTTAGTCCTGGAGTAAAACTCAAGTCTAAATGTTCATGTGGAAATTATTGTAGTAATCTTTTAATATGGCAAAGCAACTTTAAGCTGCAGTTTAGCCAAATGAATTGTAACATGAAATTATAATAGAATGACATTTCCCTTGTTTCGAACTGTTTGGTGTAAGAGAATATTAATATGCAGCTTGGTGGACACCACCAGTTAATGCACATTTCTTTATTTTTTTTTCTGTAACATGTATACTGAAAAAAGTGCATTTGTCTGAGGAACTGTTTGTTTGCTACCACTCAATGAATCTCAGTTTTGAGTAAATGTACCTCAGTCTAAATCAGACTTTTTATGACCTTTATAACTACATTTAAAATAATCTTTAATTCCTATTTCTGGGTGTTTGCAAGCCTGACAGATTGCTATCATGAAAGTGAAAATTTACTCCTCTAGGTGATTCACTAGCTAAATAAACATAATTCTTGTTTAGCAAGCATATACTGTTTCGCAAATTTTTTTTGTTTCATTGTGCCAACATCAAGGTGTTTTTCCCCCTGTTTGGAAATATTTGAGAAGAATACTTTGTCCATGGAGTTGACATATTGATAACCATGTTAAGATTTTTGTTAGAAACATGCAACAAGAGTTTTACAATACATGTTAATTGGGCCAATTCTGTACTAATTTTTAACCTCTAAAGAGTATATCTTCTGTTTAAGTTCATATAGCAACACATTCTGTCTGCTGGAAGAGAATATTGAAAAACTGTTAAGAGGGTGTATTGACTGTACAAATTACTGAACAACCTGTACCAAACTCCAGGGATAGCTTTCCCCTTTTAGAGCAGCGATGTAGAAGTCAGATATCTTATAGCTTAAAATAGCAGTAGCACATATTATTTGAACATGTTTCATGTCTTACTGTCCAAAACAGATGTTTATATTGTGTTTCAAGTCCTTAATTTACAGATTTTGGCAGTCAGAGTTCTGGAGCTTAAGTAGCAAAGGTTTGTTTTTAATACAGATGATTTTGCTGACTTTTGCATTCTCTCTTCTTGAGCCCTTTGCACTCATACAATCATGCGAACACTAGAAGTTCAGTGCACAGTTCTTGCTCATTATTTTAAATATTGTTAGAGACTGCTGGGTAGCAGATACGAATCTTAATTTTTACTGCCAGTTATCTGGAAGCTCAAAAGGGAGGCTACTCCTGTATTTTGGAGTAAAGAAGCAAAGTCACTTAAATGACAGATGTGTCATAAATAGCAAGTGGGATAAGGGAGGGATAAGCAAAGTGCATATTGTAAGAGGAGACTAGGAGACAAAGGTTTCAAGGCCAATCCCTATGAAAATTGGCTTCAGCCCAAAAATTACTGCTTCCATATGTATCTGTTCCTTGCTAACAGGTTTTATAGCTATTTGTTTCCCTCTGTGGGCTGATTTATTCCAGCTGTCATTGATCAGGTGAAGTGGCAAAGGTCAATGTAATGAGTCCAAAGGATGTAGTTTGTCTGTGATCCCTCAAGGCATCAACATGTTTCTGCTTCTTTGATACAAAACTATCTTATGAAAATTCCCGGAAGTTCCCAGTTACCAGAAAGCTAATGTTGGAGTCAAGCGTTCAGGAGCTGATTGCATGTGCAATCCCAGTTTGCTTTCACTGCAGTATTCATATTTTTGCAGGCTTTGTTAATATTTCCTGCCTTACCCCATGCCTTTTTTATTCTAATAGCATGAGCACTGCTCTTATATTGAATCGGGTTCAGCATCAAGTGGGTTCATCACTTTGTTGCAGGCTTTGAAAGCTGGGAAGATGGGACAGGATTGTGGGAGAAGGAGTTGACCACATTTAGAGAGCTGAGACTGTTCCAGGATTGAGAGCAAATCTACAAATAGAAGAGTTTGATTGCTGATGGTGTTAGTCATGTTGTGACCGATTTGCTGACTGCTGAGAGTTTAGTATGTGCAGCTGAAATTGAAAGGAATTTTATGTGCATATAAAGTACTGTAAAAATAGTATATAACATTGTAAAATCAGCTGTGGAGTGCTGTATTAGTTAATGGACATGTGAAGCTTCTAATCTTCAGCTTCCTTATGCACAAGTTATTTTCCTCCAGAAAGAAAAGGAATGGTGCTTATTATCTCAAATAAATGCAGAAATGCCTTTTTTTTTTGGTCTGATTTTTCAATATGGTGAAGGTGTTACGATGGTTGCTTTCTAACTTGCTAATGGAGGCATCAGTGGAACGCCTTTTCTGTTCCTGATGCCTCCTCCTTTGTGCCAGCCTTTGTTTTCCTGTGATCCAAACTGAGCCAGTTCAAGCTATTTTCTGCTGCTTTAACAGTTGGCTAGTTCTCTGTGGTGCTAGATGTTTAGAAGGGAGATGGTGGGAGGGTAAGCAAGAGATTTGTTCTTTCAGAAGCAGGTACCAATAGGCTTAGCTGCACTACAGCTACACACCTGGGGTTGGTGAGCCAGAGATGCAGCAGAATATTTAAAAGTGGCAAAGGCTCCCCAGAGGTAAACCAACAAAACCAATTCTGTTTCCAGTGTAAGATTTTGATAGTGCACAAGTGAGATGTGATGTTGTCACACATTTAGTGATACAAGGAGGAGGGAGGAAATGCTGAGTATTCTCCATGTTGATTCCTTCTTCCAGTCTGAGGAGGCCTAAGGGTTGTCACAGAAAGTTGCTGGTTCAAGGAGGAGGGAGGAACTGCTGAGTATTCTCCATTTTGATTCCTTCTTCCAGATGGGGAGGCCTAAGGGTTGTCACAGAAAGTTGCCATGGAAAGGCTTGTCCTACCAACACAAGTGGGACCAACTAGGATTGTAAGAGTTTTGCTCACCTTTGGGCATCTTTGCCTTTGTATGTGGAAAAGCTTGTCCTACCAACACAAGTGGGACAAACTTAAGATTGTAAGAGTTTTGCTCACCTTTGGGCATCTTTGCCTTTGTAACATCAGCATCTTTCATATAGTATTTTTGATAATTGACAGGAATAATTTCTGTCAGTTGAACGTTTATATCGGTGGCTTAATGAAAGCCTGAGCACTACTTTATTTTGAAGGACTTGGATTGAGAAAAAAGCCGACATTCACAACTAGATGAATTTAACTTCTTCAGGTATTTTGCCATTTTGTGCTTAATTTATGAAGTACTTACTTGTCTACATTCTCTGTGTTTTTTTCTTTTTGGCTACTCGGGCAGTTTCAATGTTCACTGTCTGCAAAATTTAGATGCAAAAGCCCTTTGCCAAAATTATTCTTATTCCAGACAAATCCATGGCACCAAACAAAAGAGAATGTTGAGGTCAAGTGCAAATAATGTAATATTTCGGAGGAAGCATCTTAAATATTTTTCATCGTTTAGTCCAACTTCTATTTTGAAGTTGCTTTCTATTTCATATGAGAATTTACACACTTGAAATGTATTCACTGAATGGGTCATGTTGGAAGGGACCACAGTGGGGTCATCTGGTCCAACCTCCCTGTGCAAGCAGGGTCATTCTAGAAAATTCCTAAGGAAATCAGTGCATTTTTCCTAGCTGAACCTGAGTTGAAGCAACAATGTTTTGAATTCTGTAAGTCACAGTTACCTACCTTAATTTTTCAAAACTACCCGTGACTTTCACCAGAAGGATTTTTACATACTTCACCTGATTGTAGTGCAGTGAAAATCCAGTGGAGACGGTCTTTGAACTTTCTCCAGCATTGTTTTTTAAATGAATTATTCTAGGCATTCAAATGCAAACCACCCTTTAGGAGTGGCTTTCCAAAGCCATTTCTTCTAATTTTTCCTTCCATTTAGTTAAGGAAATACACAAAGATTTTCAGTGTCTTGGTTATCCTTTTGTTGAGTGAAGATCCATATAATTTACTGATAAATTAAGAGATTAAGCAAGTGGCTCTTTTCCATCTAGGTGTGGCAAACTTGGTTTCAATTTTGTGGGTTTTTTCCTTTTGTTTTGTTTGTACCATTACAGTATGGTGACATAGATGAGAGTTCTTTAACATGAGAGTTGACCATTGGATCTTATTAAATATGTTTGAAAGTTTCTTCAGGAGCAACCTGTTCACATCCTTTGTTAGTCTATTTTCCACCTGACACATTTAGTGTAGTTCAGCATGGGAGAGGAAAGAATTTCTCTATGGGCCATAGGAATTCTGAGTAAATTAGTTTGGTCTCATATACAAATATTGGTGTACAGCTGGCAGGCTTTTCTCAAAGCATCTGCTCTATACTGTCTGTTGTACTTTACATATTTTAATAAAGTGCATTTTAATATGATGAATATGAACCTTGCAGTTCACAAATTTAAATTTGTATCTAGTCCAGGCTTTCAATGGTATTTCTCTTCTGATAATAATCATGAAACATTCTTACTAATGGTACTGTCAATGTCCAGGGTTCTCTAAGCAAAATATTAATAATAAAATTTGCTGCTTATTAATATTAGGAGATGCCTAATGTTTGTGTTATCTGTTCTTTTCTGACCTTGTCTTTCCTGCAAGTGAAAATGCAACAAACATGAGTCAATGACCAGTTGGATGTCTTCTCCAATCAATTTAGCTATGTATTTCACAGTAAACTTGTTCTGCTACACTGCAGGCAGAGTGCACATGGGTGGATCTTCACGTATCTTCCTCCAGAAATCTGTTCTTAGTTCAATGCTCAAGAGACAGTGAATTTCTTGTTCCCATCTAAGTAAGCATTCCTTTTCAATTTCCTACCCTTTTTGTGAAAACTCCACTGGGTATGTCTGCCAGCTGTTTCCTTTGGATGCCCATAAGGGCAGCCTGGCTTTGGATGCTGTTTTCACAATCTGGAAAAAAGTTCCTGACTTCACATACCTCTGGAGGGAGGAAGTCTTCTGACTGAGTTAAGCTTAGTCTGCCTTGTTTGCCCCAGTGCAGATAGAGAAACACTGCTTTTATAACTAGATTCATTCAATTTTCTATGTGGAGTATGCCATCTTTTAAAGTTAACTTTGCAGCATTTTCAGAAGGTGGAAGCAGAAACAGTATTTCATTGGAATTTAAGGACACAGTAATTAAAACAAGGATCCACTTTTAAGTGTTGTTCTGAATTTTAGTGCTGGTGATAACCAAAGTTAAACCAGTGAGAGTTTATAAGCTGTTTGCATATCCTGTGTGCATTTGCACTTGTCATCTTAATTAACATCCTTTGCCTGTAAAATTAGTTTGTAACTCTTGAGAAAATTAATTTTTGTTTATTGTTACTTTGAATTTCATCCACTCTGGGATACCATAACTTTTCGTCTGCCTGCACAAGTTTACATTCATCTTGAGAATGAAGTGGATGTTCATGTAAAATGAAACAAGATACTCTAGATCAATGACTATATTTAAGTTGAGCTTATGGACTTCCAAATGCACAAGCGCTCTTGATTTGTGCGCTTTTATGTGACGCGTTACACTTTCATCTTGAGCTCTGAATTTACACATCCTTTCTTTCCTGTTCTGCAAACATCT